TTTAAATAGTTAATTTGATACGAATATCGATATATTTTTGTTATGCATAAAGTACTGTATATTGATGCATATTACTTAAAATTCAAGATTACAAGTAATAATGCATAAGTACAACTTATTAAAACTCTATTTTTAAAATCGTGTAACTAATTGCAAATAAATTTAATCAAATACAAGATAAACATTCATTTTAAATATAGAAAATCAAAAATATAATTAAGATAATCATTGAGTTCTAACAGAATGTTTAATTATTATCTTTATATAAAAAAAATAAACCATTAAACCAAAAATAAATTACTTTTTTATTAAATCTAAATTAAATTATAATAAAAAATTTGGATTAAAGAAGTCACACCAAAAAAACAAAAACTATTAAATAGTTAATTTGATATTAATATCAATTTATTTTGTTCAATTTTTATGCTATCTTCAAATTTATATTTCATTAAAAAATAAAAACATTACTGCTTTATCAAAACCACATAAAATCGTATTATATTGATAGAGACTAGAATAAAACCAAACATTAAAATCGAGATTTATTTCGCTGCATTACGCGAGTACCCTTCTAGTAATTATATATATATGTATGCATGTATGTATATAACACTATATTGTCTTTCAATAATTGAATCCTTTCACTTTATTTTATATATTAAAATTCATATCCATCTTTTATCAACTGAAAAGGCATTTGTTATAGAAACGATAAGGATGGTGATTGATTGGTTTGAGCTTGCCTCCAAAGGTCAAAAGTATCAGGAGGTCTCAGGTTCAAATCCAAGGAAGAATAAAGATCTCCTTGTAGTCAAGGAGGTTTAAATGCGGTGATTTCAGACTATTTGTAAAGCAGGTGGTCGTCCTGCGATTAATCGGTTCACATAACGGGTTGTATATCCAGGTTAATTAAAAAAAAAAAGACATTTGCTATAGATTTTAGATGAATAAAACCTTATGAAAACGAAAACCAAATCATAAGAAACTACACTTGATGAGGTACATTATATGAAAAATCATAATCCCATAAATTCAATACTTTGGCTTCAAAATCATGGCGAAGTATTGCGAAAATGGTTGAAACCACCGAAATCGGCATATTTACAAGCTCAACTTCTCTAAAATGACGATCCAATTTCAAGGATCTACCAACACTGGTCCGTCTCCCATCTGCGACTCTTGTATGCGCCGCCAGATCTCATTGGAGACGGACCACCCACCCGCCTCTGCGCCAGACTGCGATCGTAATCCGCTCGTTTTGCTGGATCTGCGAGCGTAGAATACGCTGAGTGCACTTTCATGAACTCATCCGCCGACGAGTCATGACTTCCGACGTCCGGATGCAAAACTCTGGCTAATCTACGGTACGCAGCTTTCACCTCTCGTGCATCGGCTCCCATTCGAATCCCGAGCACGTCATACAACGAAGACGGGGCCGCATTCATGAACGATCGAATTGATTCCGTCTCCACCCTCTCGGCAGTAGCGTACGCGGCGGAAATCCGCCATCTTCCGAACTGTACCGAGGTTGAAACCGGTCGTGGTGATGGGTGTGAAGTGAGGGGGGAATTGGGGGAGGTAAAGAAGGACGATGGAGTTGAAATGGCCATTGGGAGATTATGTTTTTTAGATTGATGCGGAAGAATGGGTTTTATAAAAGAGGGGGGGGGGGGGGAGGGGAATGGAATCCATAATGGGAGTTATCCAAATGGTGGAATTAGAATTGGGTTATCCACTTCAATAAATGCAACAGTGAATAAATAATAAGAGTGAGCTAAAGGGTCGGTGACCGTGTTTCCGGTTCCGGCGACCGCGGGAATCTGCAGTTCCGGTCTTCCCACGTTCATTTATTCTCTCTATCTGAAAGTCACCCCCCTTTTAAGAAAAGAAAAATTGACTATGAAATAAAGTAGTATTTTGCTTAAAATAATAACAAATTAAGTAAATCAAAATCCAAATAATATTAGACGAATAATAATAAGAGAAAATTGTATTAAAATGGAAGTAATTTTCACTTTATTCTTATTTTGTGGAACCAATTTTTAAAATCTTTATTTAATGGTCTCTATCAAACTTTTTGTTTATTTAAGGGTCTGGTTGACCTGTTGAACAAATAACATATAATTTAATATGACTTGGAAGAAAATTATTTAAACAAATATTATGTGGAAATTATTTTGACAAATCATCATTATAATTAAAACAAATCAAAATGAAGTCCGCTTCAGGTCTCCTACCTCGGTCACAATCCTGCCCCTCCCTCTTCTTTCAATCGACGTCGTCCCATAGCCTTCTGCTGTAGCTTTCTGCCCTCTCCGACAGCCGTTGCCCCTCCCTCTTCTTTCA